GAGAACAGTTTTATTTTCACCAATAATGATAACACCTTGGTATTATTTAATAAATTGAATCCAATAATTGATACTATCATACTTAATAACAACGAAAAAAATAGTAATAGTAATAATGACAGTTTATCAATTTACCAATTTCATTTATTTCAATGTATAAAGGAAATTTTAAAGAGAAATGAAAAAATTAAATTTGATACAGGATTAATCAGATATGTTGTAGAATCAAGTTTAATCAAAAGTAATTATATAAAGTTATCAAATAAGACATTAAAAGAATCATTAGAGTGTTTATCAGCATTTAATATCAATGATTGGATTAGCATTAAATTAGAGTCATCTCCAATACAATCATATCAATTTCATAATAGTACCAATAATAATAGTAACGATATATTATATATCTTTTTAAAAAACTTAATTAAATTAAGCAAACCTATATTAAAAATATCATTTAATATATTATATAAAATTATTTTAAAATTTAGTTTTATAAACTCAACATTTAATGTAAGTATATTTTATAATATTTTTATAAAAATTAAAAATTAATATTAACCCCTTTTTTTATTAAATTTAGTACTTTAAAACCGAGTTTTTAGACCAAATTAGCGCATTACTGATGAGTCCGTATAATGATATTAGGGATTTAACTTTAGGTTTTTTAAAGAGGGTATATGGAAATTTAACAAACAGTGATGATAAAGAAATTAAAAAGTTTTTATATTTTGAAAGTAGTTTATTAGATTTAGTTATAAAGAGATTAACAGACTCTGATAATTATGTTAGATCAACGACATTAGAATTGATTGGAATTATATCAGTAGATCCAGTTGGTTGGGAAACTCTATGCCGCTTAAACGAACCTTTTAAAGAAATATCACAACTACAATCAATTTTAAAAGAGAAACCAGTATTAACAATTAACGATGATGTTTGCAATAATAATCAAATTAATTTAAACAACTATACAGAGTTATTAGAACAAGAAATTAAAGATAGAGACCAAGCTACTGAACAACCAAAGAACCATTTGTTTTATAATGATACAATTTCAATGGCAAGCTCAAAAGATTTGGAAACTACTCTCACCAATAACTATAACAATGATACAACTAAAAATGAGGACTGGGAATGGGAAGATGAAGAGTTTAAGGAACTAATGAAAAGAAATCAAGAGAATATCAAACAGGTTAATTTTATGAACGAATATGAATTAGAGTACAACAATTACATTTCAGAGCACGATATATCACTACCCACAGAAACATTAAAAATATTTAATTATAAATTCCCATATTCAATAATTTTATTTTTAAGTGATGAAGATTCATATCCCAGAATGTAAGTATTACAGCAAAATTATATTTATTATAAATTCTAATACCTTTCTTTTTTTTTCCCTACTGTAGATCATCAATTGAAAACTTAATATTATGGATAAATTATGAACATAGTTTTAAATTTTTAAATAATATTATAATTAATGATAAAGAAAACGAAAAATATAAAATAAATAATTTAGTTAGAAATCTATTGGATGATAATGGTTATTGGGAAGTAAAGTTTAAACTGCTAGAATTTTTAACCATTTTATTTAAAAAAGAATCATCAAGTGGCGGTAATTTATCACTCACTCTAAAATTAAACTGTATAGAATTGTTAATAAATATTATAAAGAACAAATTAGAAGATAAACTTATAAGAAATAAATCAATATCATTATTAAAAGAGATTTTAAACCATTATAATAATAATAATAATAATAGTATAAACAACAATATTGATAATAAACAATCACAACATCAATCACAACAACATTATGATAATAATAAAAATATTGTAGAATTTATAAATAAATCAATTGATTTGGAAAAAGAGGAAATAAACTGCTCAACAACCAACGACTTTACATTAGAAGAAGAAGAGGATATTGACTTATATAATCAAACTTATAATAATAATAATAATAGTGGCGATAATGGTAAAGAAAATATTTTAGATTGTTATTAAAAAAAAAAAAAAAAATTAATAAATATTTAAATTTTAAAATAATAATAAATTTTATTTTTAACCCATAAAAAAAGTTTTTTTAAATATTTAAATCAAATGATGTTATAATTTTAATCACCACACATAACTATACCACACATATTTACATCATATTATTATCACCTTCAAAAGAGATAATTTTTTTTATTTACTTTGTCAGTTACCACTATATTTTTGAATTTCTTTTTTATTTTATCTTTTTTAAATTAAAATAACCATTATTCTATATATTTAAATATATTTAACTTCAAAACACAAAAAACATAAAAATTAAAAAATAAAAATAAATAATTTTTTTATTTTTAGGGTATCACATCTATATCATTTAATCACAATCACAAAATAATAATGGAATATACAAACACACAATAACTTAATATATACATTTTTTAAACCCGCCCTTTCACAGATATTAACACACATACACAAATATAGAAAAAAAAGAAAAGAAATTATTTAAATCTTTAATCTAAAAAAAAAAAAGAAAAAAAAAAGAAAAACTCACACACCTGCTACTAAAAAGCACCCCACTCCCTAAAAACATAAAATAAAACAATACTTACACACACGCACACAAAATAAAACACTCCAATACACACCCACTTTTATATTACAAAACAAATAACAATAAAAACAAGAACAACAATATTAAAATATGATTTCAAACTAGAAAAAATATAGATTTTGAAAAAATGAGATAATCTTTAGATAATCATACCTTAATCCCCTTTATATTATACAAAATAAAAAATTTCATTCTCAAAATAAAAAAACAATTATTTAAACGAAAGTGGATAATTAAAATAACACTAGTAATTACTTTTTTTTTTTTTTTTTTTATAAAAAAAACTCTCCACCTACAAATATATTTTAATACTTTTTTTAATAATTTTTTATTTTTATTGTCAAGGTAATAATAATCTTTTTATAATTCCCTCATTCAATAAGTTCAATCCAGTGATTTTTTATTATTTATTGTTACACATCACCACATTACCACTATTATTCAAACAAAAAAAAATATTTTATAATTTCCAACAACAAATGATTTTTGTTTTTCTTTTTTTTTTTTAAAAACAACATTTTTAATTTTAATGAAATTTTTAAATAGAAAAAAAGGGTTTGTTGAAATTTATATTTTTTTTTTTTTCTTTTTAGTAGTGTTTACTAATTTAATTTTTTATAAATAAACCATATATACTTATATAATATATTTATGTAAAAATAAAACAGTGTATAATTTTTATTTAACCACTTTCCAATTATTTTTAATTTCTTTCTCTTTTTTTTTTTTATAAACAACAACAATAATAATAATACTATTTAAAAGATTAAGATTTTTAATTTAATATGGGTTTTAAAATTAACACATCAACACTTATTTTTTTAAAAAAAAAAAGAGAATTTTAATTTTTGATCATATTATTAGGGGTAACTATTGTTTTAAAAATAAATATCCATATTTATCGATTAAAATTTATTATTTTTTAAAAAAAACTATTGTAGATGAACCAAAAAAAGATAATCATTCAATATGATAATTACTTTCAAAAATGTATCTTTTCATGTTGTTGTTTTTTTATTGTTATTGTTAAATTTTATAAAATTAACAAAGAAAAAAATTATAATATTATTGGTTGGCGAGTGTCTTTATAAAAAAATATAAACATTAGAAATTTTTTATTTTATTAATTTTTTATTATTTTTATTATATTTTTTAATTTTTTTTTACTATTTAATCCCAACAAAAAAAAACAATTATTCAATTTAAATAATAATTGAATATATAAATAAAATATATATTTACTAATTGTAATTAAAATAATTATTTTAAAAAAACAATATTTTAAAATTAAAAATAAAATTATTTAAATCTTAATAATTATCACTCATTTATTCATTCATTCATTCATTCATTCACTTTCTCATTCATTTTTAAATTTATAAAATTTCAAAGTTAAAATAAAAAATGACAATTTTAAGTAAGTAGTAAAAATATATAAAAAAAATATCAAATATTAATTATTAATAAAATTTTTATTTTTATTTATAGAATCTTTAGAATCAATCTTGATAAATAAAAATTCAAATAATATAAAATCAATAAATGTAACCCCTGTTAATAATAATTCATCAAATAATAAAATATTATCACAAAACGATTTAAATAATACCATTGCCGCCGCTATAAATAGAACAAATTGTTATTATGACTATTTTAATAAATGTAGTGAAAGAAGATAAAAGATAAATTAAAATATATATAAAAATGATTAATTTAATAAAAAAATTAATCTTGATTGGTGGTGTGTGTTTTAAATAAAATAAAATAAAATAAAAAACTTGTAAAATATTAAAAAAAAATTTTAACATAACCAAGATTAAATCTTGATTATGTGCATAAATAAAAGAATTTTTTTTTCATCTATTATATTATTATACATATTATTTGGCTTTATTAATATTATTATTATTATTATTATTATTATTATTATTATCCTCTTTATCGTTTCTTTTAAATAAATTTTTTAAGGTATCTCTGAATGAATAAACTTTTGATTTTAAAAGGAAAGGAATTGCTGCTTTTAATAACCCTAAACTTGGATCCAATTGTTTACCTAAACCCTCCAATACAATAGTACCCATAACTAATGTCGCAAAATTGCTTTCAATCTTTACATGATACTCTCTTACTAAACTTAATATTTCGCTAAGGAAAAGACCAACATGAATTTCACTTAATTTTGAGTTTTGGACTTTTGAAAAAAGGGACCCCATACGCTCTGTAAATTCGTATAGCTCTTCTTCAGTACACTTTGCTTCTCTGGCATATCTAACCAAAAGCTCTGCACCTTGTTTTCCATTACCATTTACAATTTCGGTGAATAGCTCTACAAAATGATCTTTATCTTGTGGACCTAACTGAGTTACTAAACCAACATCTAAAAAGATTAATTTTGGTGCTGGATCAATATTTTCCTTAAAGTCGATTTGATATAGATGTTTGTGTTTGCTATGATGCTCTATGTGTCTCTTTCTTAGTGCCTTTAATGTTTTTCGATTTAAAGCATTGTTTAAAATTTTTGATGGTTCCACTTCATCTTGAGTTCTAACTAAAACATTACCTGGATGTAAATCTGCATGCACAAAGTTATCAAACAGCATCATTTTCAAATATGCTGATAAACCCATTTTAGCTAGTGTTGGATTATGCTTATTATTTTTCTTTATAAAGTCCATGATAGGTGCACCTGGTTCGTATGATTCTACTAAAACTTCTTTCGAAACTAGTGGGTAAATTGGCTTTGGAAATACAATCTCTGGGTTATATTTGAAGTTTTTATTGAAACGATTTAAATGGTTTGCCTCTAATTCTAAATCTGATTGCTTGTTCATCGATTTGCCAAACTCTAAAACGGACTCTGGTAAACTTAACCACTTCATCTCTGGAATATGACTGAAAGCCCACACTAAAGAATAGATAATAAAGAAATCCCTATTTATATTATCTTTAACATCAGGATGTAATACTTTGACGACAGAAACTTTACCTTCCCTGGTAACTGCTTTGTGTACCTGAGCAACGGATCCAGATGCCATAGGTTCTTTTTCAAAATACAAAAATAGTTGATCAACCGATTTGCCAAAATTCCTTTCTATTAATTTCTCTGTAAAAGCATAGTCGTGCGATGGGCAATTACTATGGAGTAAAGAGAATTTGTCGCATAATAACTCTGGGAACAAATCTGGTCTTGTGCTAATCCATTGTCCAAATTTAATCCAACATGTACCGCTAAATTGTATTGTATTTAATAATAAATCCCACCAATAATGATTTATGCTTGGAATAAAACATATTGGAAAAGTAACTAGACATGGTAAAAATATTAACCCTAGTTGTAACACTCTTTTTGATACTACCCATAAATTAACTTTTTCTTCGTCATTGTTTGATATCTCCTTAATCGCTTCATATGGGTTTAATAATACAATCGAATAATCCTGTAATGGTTGTCCAGATGTATAGTTATTTAATGAGTATGGGTTATTATGATTATTATCATTAATATTATTATTAGTAACTAATAAACTTGTATAAATTATTAATGAATTGAAATTTATAATATTTTTATTAAATTTATTTGAATTATTATTATTATTATTATTATTATTATTATTATTATTATTATTATTATTATTATTATTATTATTATTATTTTTGAATTTAAAGTTAAAATTAAAACTACTATTATTACTATTATTATTAAAACTACTGTTATTATTATTATTTAAATTAAATTTATTATTTTGATTATTATTTGTTAAAATATATGTTTTATTTGAATTATTTGAAAATACATTTTTATATTTATTTGTATTTTTAAATTTTGAAAATAAACTACAACAAATAAAATAATAGAAAAAATATTAATATCTATTTATAGAATCTTATTTATAGATCCAATTATAACTTGTGAAATAATTACTTTAGGTATAGTTGTTTATTCATTATATTACAACATTAATAATTATTTTTTGTGATTTTAATATGCAAATAGCACGAAAATAATTTTAAATTTTTAAAAAAAAATAAAAAAAAAAAAAATATTAAAAATTATTTTTAAAAAAAAATTAAAAATTAAATTAAATTAAATTTAGAGGTTTGTCTACAATGAAATTATGTTTTAAATGTTTATTATAAGTGATGTATTATGATTCTAATTACTTTTTTTGAAAAAGTATAATTTTTTTTTTTATTTTTTTTTTTAATAAATATATTTTTTATTTGTTTTTTTTTTTTTCTTTTTTAAATAAATATTTCATTAAATATTTTTTAAAATTATATTATTATTATTATTTATTATTATTTATTTATTATTTATTATTTATTAATAATTATTAATTATAATATTATTTTGATGATGATAATGATGGTGAAGAGCTTCTTATAAATTTATTAATACCACCAAATAAACCTTTTGTTTGTGGGGTTTGAGTTTGTGGTGATCCAGTTGGGGTAGTTGATACCTGTGGTAAATTATTAATTGGTTTACCATTTGGTAAAGTTTGTTGTTGACCTGGTTGTTGTGGTGATTGGAACATATTTGATAAATCGAAAAGACCTTCTCTGTATTCATCCTTTTTAAGAGTATCTTTTAATAATTTACTACAATAAGTGGAGGTATAGAGGGTATTATAAAACTTGGCCAATTCGATGAATGCCAAACCAAATTTATTACCATCACCTCTTTCTTTTTTATCTTTTTCGACTTTTGATGACATTTCTGGTTTATATTTCTTGTAAATCATATGAACTTTAATGAAAAGAGTTTTATCTTTAAAGAGTACATTGAGAGCCTTGATATCTTTTTCGATGAGTTTGAGATCTTGTTTACTACGCTTGGGGTTCTTTGACTCCAATTCAGCAATATTGAACATTTTGGTGATATAATGTAAAGAGTGGCAAATGACGGTTGGATGTGATGAAGTACCAATAGTTTCAAGGAAACCACTAAGAATATTTTCTTTTGAAAGACTTTCAAGAGTACCAGTGTGGTGTCTCATTAATTGGTATAATAAGCACCATGCTTCACGATTGAAATCTTGACTGTTACCATCTTTACAAAAAGTTAAAAGACGTGAATAGAAATCCTCTTCCTTTTTAACAACATCAAAAACTGGATAAAATTTAAGGAGGTGACGAATAGATGAAAGCATATTGGTTTTAATTGGATAACAATATTGGCCAGGTGTTGGATCTGTCATTTTACTACACATACCACGAATATCAATTGGGGAAAGTGGGAGCATTGGATGACCCCATTTCTTTTGACTACTTTTAACAGTTGTAACTACTTGAATGGTACCTAAATGATTGTGTGTTTTGCTAATTTTGCTGAGTAAACTAGTGATAACATACATTTGATAAGTTGATGATTTGCTATTCTTTATGACGAAACCTAAGAGATGATGGAATAATGCACCATCGAGGACAAAAGAGAATTTGTTTTTAATACCAATTGTAATGTTTGGTGTAGAACTTCCAAATGATGATCCAGAAACACCGATTGGTGGTGAACCTACTGGTGATAATGGTGGTGTAGTCATTGATGACATTGATGTATTGGTGATTGGTAATGAGGCTGTAGCTGCTTCGATAGTACGATCTAATGAATTGGAGAAGAGTTCTAATAACATTTCTAATAAAAGATTTGATGGTCTCTTTTCATCATTTCCAATGAAATCAGTAACTGAAAGACAAGCTTCTGGTTCTTTATTATACTCTTTATATACGAAATCGACCCAAGGAGCTTTACCAAATACAGAGAAAAGACGACGTGCAGCAAATTGAACATGTTTTAATTTTGAATCACATATCTTTTTAACACGGCCATATAAATTTGAATTTTCGGCTCTTAAACAATTGTGAACAGCCAAACCTTCTTGATTGCTCATTAATTGTAAGAGAATAAATAGACAGAATGAGGAAACACTCTTACTACGATGACTGATACCAGTGAAAATTTTATCTAAAATATTTGGTGTGTTTTGTTGTAAGAGTGTGGCGATACTATGAGTAATTGAAACTTTACTTTGAGTGATAATAGATTTTGAATAATATAAATGTACATGAATATCCAATACTTTTCCAATAACATTAAGGTAATAGTAGCAGAAGATAAGTTTCCAGAGAACTTCAATAGAGTCACCTAAAAGTAATTTAACTAATTGATTAGTTTCTTCGGACCATGGATAAAGTTCGGTTGGGACCTCGGTAATAAAGTCAAAGGAGTATGTTAAGAGTGATAAGTTTTTGACATCTTTGTTGGTGATGAGTTTTTCTAAAATCATTGAACCCTTATTACCACTAAAGAAATACATGACCAAGTGGGATAATTTTGCGTGGAACAATGGTGATTTGCTAGACTCTAAAAGTGACAATAAGTCTTGAATATTTTCAGGTGTAATTGATCTAGTGATAACAGTGGCATAGGATTTACCACCATCAAAGTCTTCACTAAAGCTACTATCTAAAAGGTCTGAAAATTTATCTAAATACATATCACCATAGAGAATATCAGAGATATTTTGAATATTCAATTTGTCTTTGGTGATTCTTTGTTGAGACATGATAATGAAATCAATCTCTTCTTTGTGCTTTTGATGCTCTTCTGGTGGAACTAATGGATGATACCAACTGAATAAATGATTATGACGGCCTCCATAATGGAAAACTTTTAAATTGGTAGAAAGGGATTGTTGATAGCTTGGATCGCTTAGCTTTGAATATTCAAAATAGACATCGTAATATGGTACATTAAATTCGACAGTTTGACCACCGACTTTGTTTGTTGGACAATCGCAGTTTTCTTGAATTAGTTTTGCTGAGAGGTCAGTTCTTCTGAGACCCTCATTCTTTAAATTAAATATTGATTGTTGCTGGGATGTTGATAATGGTGATTGGAAAGTACCATGAAGCTTTGCAATAAATGGTTGTACATAGGTCTTTTCATTGCTGTCTCTCCATGCTTTTTCTCTTTTTTGAAGTAAGGCAAAGATAACTTGATTTTGAATGAGTTGTTTAGTTGCATCGTCACATTGTATTAATGCAGGCTTACTGGCAGTGGAAAGAACACGGCTATTACGAGCAATTAAATCACTTAACTCACGTTGTTGTTTTCTAATACGTTCTTTTTCTTCTTGTTCTTTTTCTTGCTTTAAACGGAGCTCTTGTTCTCTTGTAATATTACATTGTGGGTATGACATATCCATAAAGTGTAATTCATTGATACCACTCTTTATACAAATTTGATTTTGGTTTTGTCCTGATTGATCATTACCTTGTTTACCTTTTTGATTATCTACAACAATATCACTAATATTATTCATTTGTGATTCTGCAATTGATTGGATGGGAATTAAATCACGTAATTGTGATGAATGAGGTGAGAAAATTGGTAACTGTGAACAAACTGATGCCCATCTCATTAATGCTTCATCATACTCTTCAAATGTATTATAATCGATTGGTTGTGGTTCTTGTGGAATTAATAAACTGTCCCATGGTTCGTTGGAATTCTCTAATGTTTCTTTATTTATTAAATTAAATTCATTATATGTATCTGTTAATTGTGATTCATCGTCAATTTCACTATTTAATGGATCACTCTTTGATTCATCATCACTAAATAAATAAATATTAAAAAAAAAAAAAATATTAGTATTTGTTTATATAAAATACAATAATTAAATATAAAATATTTACCCTTCATTTGAAAAACTTGAAACTGATGGTCTATAATCACCAAATGTTGAAGTACCTCTATATATTTTTTGAAAATCTGATAGTTTTGGACGATAATATGTACGACCAGTGGTAACTGGTAAACGAATATGTTCAAAAATTTGATCAACTGCATACTTCCAATCTAAAAATGCTTGTTCATAATCGAAAAAGTTTTCAAATTCATCAATTTGTGGAATCGAATTATTAAGATGTACTAATTGTTCTTGTAAAGTTTCTTCCTCTTCTTCCTCTTCACCATTGATACCATTAGTTTCTTCTAAAGTACTACCATCTGCTGCTGTTGAACCACCTATCTTATTATTGCTATCAAGACTTCCTTTTTCTGGTATTTTATGTGAAAATACTGGAACATAATTTATATCATAAAAAACACCATCATTACCTAAAAATACTGGTTCACCTGTTGTTTCTCTACTTTTAATTTTTTTTAAATAATCTTCTGGTTTTTGTGAGGGTATGGTATATTGTTTTTGTTCTATTAAATAAAAAAATTTTAAAAAAAAAAAAAAATTTTGTTAATACCTTTTTTTTTTTTTAATAATAATTACATTTAGATAAATTAAAACTTACGTGCAGTTTTTAATGTCTTTTGGTCTGGATTATCAAAAGCATTAAAAATTGAAACTGTAGATCTAGTTCTGCCTAATAATCTTCTATATGTTCCACCTTTAGTAATATTTGCCTCTTGGTGTTGGGTAGCCATTATTAATACTTAAAAGATCTATTTTTTATTTATTACTTGTTTATTTTTTTATTACTACTATTATTTATTTACTACTACTATTATTATTTATAAAACTACAAGATTAAATATATTACAATGTTGCTGGATATTTTATATATCTATTTTTTTTTTTTTGTTTGTTATGTGTGTTTTTTTTTTTATTTATTTGTGTGATTTCGAAATTTTTTTTTTTTTTTAAAAAAAAAATTTTTAAACTGATTTAAATAATATAAAAATGAAAAATAAAATGAATTATTGTTTTATTTATTATTTTCTTTTTTATTTTATATAAATATTAAATCACTACACAATCAACAAAATTTATTGTTTCTAAAGTGTGATGCGAATTTTTTTTTTTTTTTTTTTTTGCTATGTGAAAAAAATTTAAAAAAATTATAAAAAAAATTAAAAAAAAAAAAATAAAATAAAAAAACCAAAAGATTTTTATTTTAATTTTTTTTATTTTATTTTATTTAATTAAAATTTTTTTTTTTTTTTTTTTTTTTTTTTTAGCTTTAACTACTACTATAAAAGCATCTAGATACTCTTGTGCCTTTTTAAAATAAAAAATAAAATGGTTACAAAAAATGAAAATGAAAATAAAAATGATTATAATAAAATGATACAAGTATACCGGTTTTATTTTTATAATTATATTTATAACATAAAAGGATAATGAACTTCTTTAGATAATAAATAAAAAAAAAAAATATTTATTTATTCGTATGGGTAGAGTGGATCCTGTATTTTGTTCTTTTTGTTATAAAAATTTTATTTTGATATTTTTAAATTTTTTTTAAAAAAAAAAAAAAAAAAAGAAAATCCGTGGATATTTTTTTTATTTTAAAATAAAAAATATAGAATAAAAAAAAAAATAATATATGGATTTTGATTAAACCATGGTTTAAATAATTATCTAGATTGATTATAGATTTTTTTTTTTTTTTTTTTTTTTTTTAATTGTTTGGTTTGAATAAAAAAAAAAATTAAAGAAAACAATTTAGATGGTTATAAATGTTATAATGAGATTTATTTAGACATTTTCTGAAAATAAAAAAAAAAAATTAAATAAAAAAATCAAAACTAAAAAAAAAACTTTAAATTTTGTGGTGGGTGGTTCTATTCGTTCATTACTGTATCTGTATCATCTGTTGTTATGGTTGCTGATGTTGTGGTGGTTGCTATTGTGGTTGTGGTTGTCGTAATATTTTGAATGTCCTGTTGAGTATTTTTACCGTTTAAATGATTTTTTGGTTTGCTTGCAGGTTGCATTTCAATATGTTCTATACTCCACAATGATTTACCCAATTGTTCCTCCTAATAAATTTAAATATGATGTTAGTATAATTATCTATTTTTGATTTAAACTATTTTATATTTACTCTTGTAAAAGGTTGACCCATTTCTCTTAAGAATTGTTTTGATAACGAAATTGCCATATCAGTTGAAAGATTTAAATGTTGATTTTGACAAAATTGTAAAATCCATTGTGGTAGTTTATTACGTTTATCTAGACGATTGTAACGTTTATCTGCAAAGATCATAATACCGTAATCAGACTTGCCACGAATAACTCTACCTACACATTGAGAGGCAGTTCTCATTGCATCGAATGTTAAAAATTCGTTTTCTCTAATTTGATAACGATCTCTAAGAAATTCTAAACGAGCTCTTAATACTTTTGATTCTGTGTTGATGTAAGGAATACCATAGAGAATAACACAACGACCATACTGATTATCAAAATCAATACCTTCCGAGATTTTACCACGAGCAACAGAGAGCAATACAGCGCCACGACCACTATCACATGCTTTCTTATAGTTTTGAAGAGCTAGGGCAGATTCGGCAGGGTCAGAGGTTTCGACAAAAATTAATTTATTTGTTAAAATATTATTGAGAAGACCCATTTCATTCCAAACGCTGACAATCTGTTCCATATAAGAGTAGGATGTGAAGAAACAAATAATACCATCGGGCACAATGGCAGATACTTCGACTAAGAGCGAACCATAGTTTCTAACTACTGCTGTATCACTTCTTACATCAAACTTGGTGGAGATTGAAATTTGATCACTTCCTCTAGTTAAAATACATGGACATATACAATTTCTATTTAATGACATTGATAGTTTTTCAATTACTTTTGGACGAAAGTTTAACATTTTGGTGTAGATATCCAATGGTGATAGGGTACCAGACGTAATGATGACTGAACGGAATCGATCGAAAATTGGTTTCATTCCAATGGATGCATCCAAACAGCAAAATTGAAAAATTTGATCGTATGTATTGTTTTGACGTTGGTAATAGGGTTCGATAATAATAAGAAAACCATTGTTGTAGGTGCCAACCAAAGTAGCAAAATCGGCGATTAATGAAATGCCAGAAAAAGCATTGATATCGTTGATTTTCAATGTTCTAAGCAATGAACTTAATCTTGCAGAACAGAACCTCAATGTTCTTGAGGTAATTGATGTTGCGTGATATAAACCTTGTAAAAACGCCATTGGTGATTCCGATATTACCATTTGTGATTTTAGTCTACTCTTTAAATAATCTATAACTCTTTTGATTAATGACATAAAATGCTCTGCTTTTCTAATATTACCTGGAACTGCTTCTTGTATAACATCATTTGGTAATACTGGATCTGCAGATACTTCTTCTGTTCTATTTGTACCACTTCTTGCTAAACCTTGCACCAATCTGCTATATTCTTCTTTTAATCTTTTTTCATCAACTTTTTTAATTCTAAAAATGAATAAATTTGGTTAGATTTTAATTTTTAAATAGTACTATCACTATGAATACATACTCTTCAATTTGTTTATTAATCTTTGTTACATTTTTTAAAGAGGCATCTAAAATTTTATTATCTAAATTAACACTAAGAGCATTGATACACACATTATCAATGTTATGGGCTTCATCAAATACTACAATTGAATTGGTGGCAAATGATGATGAAACCAATGATGCAATTTTTGGATCTAATAAATATTGATAACTAAAAATAACGATATTTGCAAAATTTAAAACATGTCTATCTAAAAAGTATGGGCACATTTGATTCTTTAAACCATATTCTTTTAAATCCTCTAATGAATAAACACCCTCTAATAAAATTTCTTTTCCTTTATCTTCAAAATTCTAAAATTGTTGAGTAATAGAAAATAAATTAGTATTTATAATGAAATTAATATTAATAGTAATAGATATTAATTCTTACTTCAAAAAATTTACACCTTTCAGAGTTTGGATTCTCTCTATTCCATGGTGAGGTTAATTCTCTACACAATGAGTCTACTATTTTACCTTCTCTTTCTTCGCTTACTCTTGGGTGTATACATAAATTACGACGTGATGACATTGATATACATAATGTTTTTGGTGCTTTTTCACCCAATTGTGAGTTTCTATAGTTTAATACTCTTCTTGCCTCTTCTGTTGCCTGCTCAATTTCTGGGACTGTTCTTGAGCAATATAATAATTTTACTGTTGGGTTAACAAGTTGGTATGATGAAATTAATGCTAACAATGATACTGTTTTACCTGTGCCACTTGGCATTTCTAATATACATGGTCCCTAATTAATAATAAAATTATTTAAATTAATATATATGTAAATTTTTTAATGAAATCTTTTGATGATAATATATTTAACAACAAATGACTTACACCTTCATCTAATGATTTCTTTAGAGATACCATATATTGATATTGTTCTGGATAACAATAGTGGTATGGGAAATATACTGCTAAATCATCAATAAAAAATTTCATTTTCTATTTTTATCAGAGGTGGATCCGAATGTAAATAAATTATCTAAAATAAATAAATAAAAAAAAAAAAAGTAAAATATTAAAAAAATTTTTCTTGAAATTAATGAAAAAAAAAAAAAAAAAAAAATTAAAAAAAAATTAAAAAAAATATTTATTTTTTTAATCACATTGTCGATGTTTCAGATATGTTTTTTAGTTTTATGTTTACTAAATTGGTTCTTCTTTGAATATCTGATTGTTATGGATAATAATAGGGTTTCAAAATTTTAATCACCATATTTTAATTTGGTTCCAAATTTGAAGTAAACCTCTTTTAGCTCCATATTTGTAAAGATGAATCTTTCCTTTCTTCTCTAATTATAGATATACAACTATAAATAAAAAAAAAAAAAATTTTAAATTAAAAATTTAATCAAAGTGTTTCCTCCCCCCCTAATTCATGTATTTTTAAAAAATAAATAAAAAAATTAATTTTTCACACACATTCACCTAAATTAATATTATAATCTATTAAAAAATCTATAAATACATATATTAATATTAAAAATAATAAAAACATAATTATACAAACTATATATAAAAACCCCACCCCAGTTAAAACACCTTTTTTGAATAAATAAACCTTTTTATTTTTAAATTTTTTAAATTTAAATGTGGTGGTTCACATTAAATTTTTTTTTTAATTTAACACACCACACAAACGAAATGATAAACATCCACATCACACAGAACCCCTAGCATTCTCTTTGATATTAAATTTAATCGAATTACTATAATATAAATACATATAAAAAAACAAATGGTGTGTGTATTCAATAAATAAATACTTAATTCTATTTTATTTTTTATAAAATAAAAAAAAACAATATAAAACACATTATATTTTTTTTGTTTTATATTATAATTTTTTTTCCTTTATTCATAAATAATCAATCTTTTTTTTTATATATATATACATTTCAATATTTATTTTAAATATATATTTTAATTATGGAGCCACTCAATTCACCCCATACAAATAGTAATACCAGTGATAATAATAGTAGTAATAATAATGACAACTATATTTATAATGATAGCATTATTTATGAATCAATAGAACCCTATTGTAGTATTCATAAAAATGAAAAAATAATTTTAACTTGTTTAGGATGCAGAATGTTAGTATGCAAAAATTGTATAGTGGGCCATGGTTGTATAAATGGTTACGGTGTTATAGATATAGTAAAGAACAATCAACTAAATGAAATCAAAATAAATGAATTGCATTTAAAGGGTTATTTAGAAAGTGACACTTTTGTCAAAAAATCCTTAGACCATTGCTATGATGAAACAGTAAAGAAATGCAATTCAAATCTTTACATTCTTCAAGAAACGTCCAAAAAGTTAGCTCGGTTCTTTGAAGCGAATTCGAAATCTATCGAGGCATTAATTAATACTGAACAAGAGGCAAATGTAAATAATTATACATTTTTTTGTGAAGAAATAAAAAAAAATAGTGATACCATTGAAGAAATATTAAAAGAAGATGCAAATTCACTTTTAAAAGACGAGAAAAAATTAATGGATAATAAAAATAAAGTAAATAGTCTAATTAGAGAAAAAAACAACAGATTTATTGAACCATTTACAACTACCAAATTAACAATCAACGAGGACCTAATTGAACAAATTAAAATATTATCAAGAGAGGTTTTTACACTCACTAAAGAAGAGTATCGGGACGAGGCCAAAGATAACGTATATAAGCATCATTTAATGATAAATAAATTTTTCAATCGTAACTATTATTATTTACATATAATTTATTAAAAAAGAGTACCCTTTATTAATTTTTTTTTATTTTATAGCATTTTTATGTCAATATTACTTATCCCATGGCGAACCTATACCCAAACATATAGGTGAAGTGGCATTTGACTCGAGCTATATCCATGATAAATTGATTGTACCTCGACACGTTAAAAAGATTTCATTGTATAATGGATTCAAACTACCTTTAGATCATATACCAGAGTGGATTAATGTTTTGGTAGTATGGGATATAGTTGAACCCCTAAAAGCAAACTCAATACCTAAATCTGTTGGTGAACTCTATATAAGAAGCGGCTATAACCACCTGATACCCCAAGGAACCATCCCAAGCACTGTACGAGAGGTCTTTATCTGTGACATTACCTTTCCACTACTTAAAAACTCTTTAGGTTGCAATGTGGAATTACTTAAAATTAGAAATGGTTATAACCATCCAATAACCGAAGGTGTCATACCTCCATCTGTAATAGCTCTTTATTTTGGTAAATTAGGAAACAGCTTAAATAATATTAAAACCATATTAACAAATGATACCATTCCTAAAACTGGTAAATTAGAAACCATCCACTTTCTAGCAGATTTCAACCAATCAATACCAGACAACTTTATACCAAAAAATAGATCAATCACGTTGCAATTCTATGACATTGAGCAAATCAAACTATTCAAAAATGGTGTACCCTCGCATGTAAAAAATGTTATACTCCACAACCACATAAAATACAAACACTTAATTTTGCCATGTTGGATTAGCCCCTCCATAAAAATCAATTACTTATAAAAATCAGTTTTTTCAGCTCATAAAAATCAAAGCTTACAGCTCATAAAAAAAAAAAATAAAAAAAATAAAAAAAATATAAATTTTTGCCAATCATTTAGATCTTGCCAAGCTCCAATTATTTTTAAGAGAAAATCAGGAATACCCATAAAAATTATCAAAAAAATAAAACAAAAATATCTTTTTTTTAAAAACCGTACAGGCGTATATTTAATTTTTTTTCTTTTTTTTTTCCTTGATTTTTTTATTTTTTTTTATTTTTTTTTAAATATTTATTCCAAATTTTCTCTTGAAAAAATATTTTATTTCTGTTCAAGTATTGTTGTGTTTTATTGTGTGCGAAACCAAATTTATTTATCTATTTTTGTTCATTTTTTTTTTTCTTCATAAACAAAGTTTTTATTAATATAACAGATATATATTTATATATTTTATATTTAAATATAAAATGGATGCTCAACTCAGACAAGAGATTGTTGATTTATGTACAGCAATGTTAGCTACCTTTTCAAAGGAATACATCAAAGCCTATACTATTGAATTGGTTAAAAAGGCAACTAAAGAAGCCAGAGAAACTCCATCACCATATTTTTTAGAAAAGAGACCAGTATGTATAATTGTTTAAATTAAACAATGTTTTATTTTTTTTATTTTTTTATTTTTTTTAATTTTTTTAAATTTTTCATTTTTCCAATTTTTTATTTTGTCATTTATTAATTAATTTCATTTTTTCAAATGTAACTCCCACAGAAAGACTTTGACAAAAGTGATATTTTTAAAGGAAGTTTAATTAAATTAGGCGCCGTAAGAAAGAATTGGTTAAAGAGACATTTTGTTGTTCGTTATGATTATTCAGTTGATTATTTCGTTGATGAAAATGTAAGTAATTAAAAAAAAAAAAACCAAATAATTAAAATAAATATAATTTATATTAATATAATTTAATTTTTATGTACATATTTATTTATAGGAAACAACTAAAAAAGGTACAATTAATTTATGTGGTTATAGAGTTGAGGATGATCCAAATCAATCAGCTATAACTAGAATTTTTAATTTAGCAGAAAAATTAGGTGTTGATACTAGTTCAATCCCAAAACCAAAAGAACTTCCACCATTCACCATTGAATTATATCATTACTCTAGAAGATGTTACTATATTCAATGTGCAAATGAAGATGAATTTAAAGAATGGGTCGAAATGTTTAGAATTTGTTGCAGAAGAGCTTATGGACTTAAAAATAGAGATCCATGTCATCAAGGTGCTTTCCATGTTGCTGTAAGAAATACTAGATGGAGTTTAGGTCGTTATGGTTATTGGAGTTATGGTGGTAATGGTAAGTAATCATAAATCATAAATCATAATCTTTTTTTTTTTTTTTCTTTACTAATTAAATAAACAACTTTAAAATAGAAATTCAAATTTTATCAGATTTAATTTCAACTGAAGTCGAGTATGATATTCTTGGTCGTGCTTTACGTAAGCTTCCAAATGTACCATGGTTCATTAGAAACTTTTTAAGAAATAAAATGATGAATGTTATTGATGGTATTATTACATCGGCAGTCAATCCATCCTGGGCTGCAATGGACAAAACCGTCACAGAACTCAGACCAACTGTAGAACCAAGAATTAAAAATCAAGTTGACCCAATTGCTCAAGCTCAAGGTAATATTGTTAATAAGATGAAGGAACAAATTATGAGTGCTGCTCAACAATCTATCGAACAACATCTTGCTCCACATTTAGCTAAAATTGTTAGAACCACCAAAGAACCAATTCAAAGCGGCTTTGTTGAATCATTCAAAATTTGGAATGATAAAACCAATGGTTACTCTGGCAACGGTTCAAAAGAATCATTTTCAGAATACCGTCGTTATCCAAATAATTGTTGGACTATGCACCCAGCTAGAATTCAAATCCACGATTTAGAAGATCCATTAAGAGACTTATCTAAAATCTTTTCCGATATTTGGCCATCATCCATTATTTACTCTATCAAGGAAGATATCACCGCTATGGCCTACGATGGCACATACACCTTTGAAAAGACTGTCACAGAAGATCAACAAGATATTGAATCATCAAAGAACTCCACCAGAGAAAAATACGAACATGATGTTTACACTGGCACTGATGAACAAATTAAATTTGTTATTAGATCATGCGCCTGCCCAGTTTTATTCAAAGTCCTCAAACCAATTACCAAACCAATTCTTTCATCTCTTTCAAGTTTAGTTCCATCAGGTCTCAATGATTTCCTCGATGTAGATGAAATGTACACTCAATTAATTAATGATATCGTAGATGAAAATACTCAAATCGCTCTTGACCAAATTAAAAATTAATAATCATTAATATTATACTAGTATATAAAAAAAAAAGAATATAGTATTAAAACATTTTTAATATGTTTTTTTTTTTTTTTAAAAACAAAAACCCATTTTTTTTTTTTTTATATATTAGCATATAAAAAAAAAAGATATCAAAATTATTAAATTAATAATTCTAAAAAATAAAATTTATTTATTAAAAACTATATAAAAAAACCACACACAGTGTTAAATAATATATATCGATATATATTATTTATTATATATTATTTTTTTTTAAAAGAATATAATTTTTTCTTTGAAAACCCCAATCGTATTTTGGCGCTTTAATATTATTTTTTAAAAAAAATTTTAAAATTTTATTTTTATTTTTATTTTTTTCATTAATTTACATTATGAACAATTATAAAATATTTAAAGAACTAAAAGATCAAGAATGGAAACAGTTTATAATTGAAAACAGTGACAATGGATTGGAAACAACTATATTTTTAAAATCTCTTTTTACCATCGATTCATATTCAATTATTATTACCGACTTGACAATGGTTTGGTGTAATTATTCAAATTTAGAAAGCATAATAAATGATAAAGATGTATGTACCACATGTAAAGTAAACATAAGGTATATATAGTTTACAAACTAACATTCTATTCTTTAAAGGAATATAACGAACATTTAGATTCGCCAATCGAAAAAATATTGGACATCTTAAGAGACTCGATAAATGAAAATAAAAAAGACACAAGTTATAAATTGTCAATACCTAAAAGTCATTATAAATTATCATTTTCATTATTCACAAAGATATCATTCTATTCATTTAAGTGGATATTTCAATGCGAACCAATTGAAGAGATTATAGATTCAAATTCGTGGAAAGTTCATTCTCAATGGATCAAAGATAATTTTATTATTCCTACAATGTTTTTATGTAAAAATTTATTAAATACAAAACAGCTATTAACCAAGCAATTGGAAAAAGTTTTAAAATATGTAAATAGTAATAATATTAATAATAATACCAACACAAGTATAACCAGTAACAATAGCAATTTAAATAATAGTAGTTTATCAGCATCTCAATTGGTTGGTGACTCCAAGAGACTGAACCTTTCGATCACAAGTAAGAAAATAGGTGTAAATATTTACCAAGCAATTCCTATACTTTCAGAAACTATCAAACCGGAAGATTTCAAAGATAATAATTTTAATTTTTTTAATGACCCAATTTTTTCCCAATATTATGACTTTTTAAATCACAGCAACAATAACAATATCGATAATAGTAATAGCAATAAAAATCATAATGTTAGCAATATAAACGATTTTTATGATAAAGAAAATAGTTTTGATTACAGCAATGGTAACCAACTGGATTTAAATGAAACCGTAGAAGAAAACTTTTTAGATAATGGTAATAGTAATCTATCATCATCAAAGACAAGAGTGATTAATAAAACAACTTCGGCAACATCAGCCACATCAACCAATTCAGAGTTAAGTCTTTTTTATGATGTATGCTCCACACCTAAAAAAAACTATGGAAACAATAGTAGAAACAGAAATAAGACCAATAGCAGTAACCCATCAATGTTAGCATCTCTGCCATCATCCATTTCAAATATACATCCCAATTCATTATCGTCATACAGCTCTTCACAAAACTTTGATGATTTTAACACAACAAACGATTTCGATGATAGCAACATAACGAAAATAACAAATAACCTAAAAGATCAATTCGAACCAAATGAAAATGAAGAAGTTGAGGAAAAAAAAAGAAAATTAGAACTAGAAGAAAAACTTGAACAATCCAAACAAAAGCAACTATATAAAAAAAAGAAAACAAAATTTGTATAAATAAAAACTAAAATATAATATAACCTATTGTCTCTTTTTTTTTCTTTAAAATTAATTTGTTTTATTGTTTTTAAATATTTTAAATATATTTTTAATTTTCGCCAAAATAGATACCTATAAATAAAAATAAAAAAAGCGAGTTAGATAAAAGTTATATTTAGAAATAAATAAAAAATCAAATTAAGAGTTAACAAACCTTCTTCAGTTCTCCATTTAGTATCTTCGTTTTTATTTTTACCACCGCTAACTTCAATTTGACCTGGAATTGGATTTTGGTATTTGGCTGAAGCCATTGCTTGTAAATAACTCTTAGTATCGACATGTTGGAATCTAACGGTTTTACCTCTCATCCAATCACCGCCACCTTCAACTTCAACTTTCCAATTATCACCTGTATCACCTTCACCATTTTCTCCAAAACAACTAACTTCCTGTATTTTTTATAAAATTAAAAGTATTAATATTTTATTTATTTTATTGCATGCAATGATATCATTGTTGAATTATTCTTTTTATCCACAAATTAATTTCGTCTATATAAATCATACATTTTGTTTAGTTAATGGTGAAACTGCTAAATGACTGTGTAAATTCTTTCTAGTGTTTGAGTGTAATAATCTAATAATATCACCATCTTTAACGGCAGTTCTGTAAGATTAAATTAATAAACTAAATTAATATCTTTGTTATTATTTAAATACTTAATAACTATTATATTTACCCTTGTCTAACATGACCCCCATTTGGGCCTTTAATAATCCATAAACTATTAGTGTCATCATTTTCTGGGAAACCAGTTACTGATTGTTGACCACTACCCCCGCCCCCACTACCATAACTAACTTTATGTGAATGTAATCTAAAATTAGTTGGGATATGTGCTAATTTAACAATACTACCATATGCAACCTTTTCAACTGTTAATTAAATATTAGTATTTTGTTTTTTTTTATTATAGTATCGAAATTTTACATACTTGGTTTATCTTCATATGATGCTTGAAATAATGGGATAGAAATACATAAAATTAATAATAAAAATAATGATTTCATTTTATAAATTTACAATTTTTATTAATATAAATAGATCTTAAAAAAAAAAAAAAAAAAAAAAAGAAAATTTTAAAAAAAAAAAAAATTTGAGGACGTGTGTTGAAAAAAATTAAAAAAAAATTAAAAAAAAAATTTTTAAAATAAATATATGATTAATTAAAT